ACTCACACTCTTTCCCAAACACACACTCACACACACACTCTCTCCCAAACACACACTCTCTCACACACTCTCACACACACACACACACACACTCTCACACACACACACACTCTCCCAAACACACAATCACACACACACACACTCTCCCAAACACACACTCACACTCTCTCCCAAACACACACTCACACACACTCACTCACACACACTCTCTCCCAAACACACACTCACACTCTCTCCCAAAGACATACACACACACTCTGTCCCAAACAGACACACACACACACACACACACGCTCTCCCAAACACACACACACTCTCACACACACACACACTCTCACACACACACACACATAGTCCCAAACACACACTCATACTCTCTCCCAAACACACACACACTCACCCACACACACACTCTCACACACACACACTCACACTCTCTCCCAAACACACACTCACACACACACACTCTCTCTCCCAAACACACACACACTCTCTCCCAAACACACACTCACACACACTCTCTCCCAAACACACACTCACACACACTCTCTCCCAAACACACACACACACTCTCTCCCAAACACACACTCACACACACACACATACATTGATTAATATGTTTCCTTTAGTCCCTGTCCTCACCAGGTTCCTTCTCTTCTCCATCCTGTTCCCTCTCTCCTCTTTCCTTCTTTCATTCCCCCCCTGCCAACATGTTTTACTCCCTTTGCTCCCTCCCTCCCTCTTGTCTCCCCCCACCCCCCCTCTCCCTCTCTTTTGTCTCTCTCTGTTCCTCCCTCTTGTCTCTCCCCATCCCTCCCCTGTCCCTCCCTCTTGTCTCTCCCCGTCCCTCCTTCTATCTCTCCCCGTGCCTCCCTCCGTCCGTCTCTCCGTGTCCCTCCCTCCGTCTCTCCCCGTCCCTCCCTCTGTCTCTCCCCTCTCCCTCCCCCCCCCTCTCCCTGCTCCCTCCCTCATCCTTTCCCCCTCTCCTTCCCTCCCTACCCCTATCCATCACCCCTCCCCGCTTCATCTCCCCCCACCTTCTCCCCCTCCCCCCACTGCCACCGCCTCCCTCCCTCCCTCTCTCCCCCAACCCTCTCCCCCACCCCCGCCCTCCCTCCCCCTGTACCC